AAGCCCAAGTTCACACTGCCAAGGCGGATCCAGAAAGCCCCCCGGCCTTGTGAGAAGAGTGCCCGCCGTGCGACTCTTGCTCGGAGAAGCGCTGAAGCGAGGAAGAAAGCGGGGAAGCAGCGCGGCTCGAGGACCACCGAGGCCGCGCTTAGGGTTCAGGGTTTAGGGTTTAGGGTTTGGGGTTTAGGGTTTAGGGTAGGGTTTAGGGTTTAGGGTTTAGTTCGCGCGGGACCTGGACTGAGCTGCGGGCCAGCTGCAAGGGCGCGTTTGCGAGTTCCTGGGGTGCTAAACCCTTGTGACCCGAAGCTTCAGCTGATTCAGAACCCCCCGCGAAACAACGAGAATAACATTTACCTTCTATGCGTAACATGGGGTTGTTATCTTTGATTGTTTTGGGGGGTTCTTAAGCAAACCGTAGCCCTAAACCCGACGCCCTAAACCCTAAGCGCTAAACCCTAAACCCTAAACCCGAAACCCGAAACCCGAAACCCGAAACCCTAAACCCTACACCCTAAACCCTAAACCCTAAACCCTAAACCCTAAACCCTAAATAGCTCGGGTGGGAGGTGGCTTGGGGGCCCTGAGGCGCCCCCTCCCCCAGCTCGGGTGGTGCGATCTCTAGGCCTCGAAGACCCGAGTGACTCTTCAGCTTAGGGTTTAGGGTTTAGGGTTTGGGGTTTGGGGTTTAGGGTTTAGGGTTTAGGGTTTAGGGTTTAGGGTTTGGGGTTTAGGGTTTAGGGTTTAGGGTTTAGGGTTTGGGGTTTAGGGTTTAGGGTTTAGGGTTTAGGGTTTGGGGTTTGGGGTTTGGGGTTTAGGGTTTAGGGTTTAGGGTTTAGGGTGTTGGGGTTTAGGGTTTTTGGTTTGGGGTTTGGGGTTTGGGGTTTGGGTTTTTGGGTTTGGGGGTTTGGGGTTTAGACCCTATGTGCGCGCAAGTTCTGTGCTATGCGAAGAGTGGGCTTTTGCCACCCCCTAGAACTGTAAATAGAACCTAAACGCCTGAAGCCCAAATGAGAAGCCCTAGCTGGAGCCGACCCGAGACTCCTGAACTCTCTAAAATCCTACGCCTAAAACCCCAAACCCCAAACCCCAAGCCCCAAGCCCCAAGCCCCAAGCCCCAAGCCCCAAGCCCCAAGCCCTAAGCCCTAAACCCTAAACTCTATCAGAAGCCACATGCAGGGCGCCGGCACTGGCGCCATGTACATGGTCAAGCTTCAGTGGGGATTCACCTGGGAACGCGGCGAGTTCAGGCGGGTCGGGTTCCCGGGCTCGGAGGTTTAGGGTTTCGGGTGCTAAGCCCTAAACCCTAAACCATAAACCCTAAAACCTACACCCTAAACCCTCAGCGAATAGGCCCGAAACCCCTGAGTCACCTTGAGCCCGCAGCCCCTTATCCGGAACCCCAGACCTAAACCCTGAAATCCTGAAACCTCTAAGCCCCAAAAAGGTTTCGGGTTTAGGGTTTAGGGTTCTCTGACCTCCTGCCCCACTACACCCTAGATACTGTGACAGTGCTGCCTCAGAACGCGATATCTCCTACCGATTGCTTAAGAACCACCCAAAAAAAAGTATTCTTCCTTTTAAGGGTGATTTAGGGATTTTTTTTTGGGGGTTCTTAAGCAAATGCTAGTATCCAGCCCTGGATTGCTTAAAGTAGAGGAGCACACTTGAGGTTACCCTGAATTTCGGAGCCTTTTTGGGGTTTGGGGTTTAGGGTTTAGGGTTGGGGCCCGAACCAAGCCGAAGCGAAGAACAATGAACCCCTCATCCGACAGCAAAGCTGGCGATCTCGACCGCAGACATGGACGTCGTACTTCCTTGCCAGGCCGCAGGAGCTTCTGGAGATGTCATCCTTCGGCTATTCTCTCCGAGGTATGTGACGTGTGCCGAGGCGTACGAAATCTTGGCGAAAGAGTCTGGGTTCGATTGGCAAAAGCTGGTCAAGCTGAATTCCGAGTACTTCGTTTCTCTGGCGCCGAGACAGACTCACCTCATCGCAATAGCCCCGAGAACCCTGCCCAAACCCTCCCAACAGCCCCAAAGACATTTCCAACATTCAACCCCACCCCCTCCAACCCTTCCAATGCCAGGAAGGCCGACTCATCTGCAAATGAGAGAATGCAATTTTCAGGTCCTAAAGAAAAAATATAACCCTAAACCCTAAACCCTAAACCCTAACGCCTAAACCCTAAACCCTAAACCAACGAGCCCAAGGCTGAAGGGGCTGAACCCTGAATTTCTTAGCTTCTTGTGCACGAGAGGCTCCCTAAAGTAAATCGAATTCGGCCCCAGATCTGAGGGTGTAGGGTCTAGGTTTTAGGGTTTAGGGTTTAGGGTTTAGGATTTAGGGTTTAGGGGTTTAGGGTTTAGGGCCACTAGGGTAAAACTGGGTTCGGAATAATTACTAGTAGTCTTCCCTTTGGGTCCCTTTGCAATCATATGATAATGACCCCCCCCCCCCCCCCCAAAAGCCTATCCTATAAACCCTAAACCCTAAACCCTA